AATACAAGGAAGGGGAATTACTGAGAAAAGTGTGTAATATATAGCGTGGAGGGGCACAGCTCTCCTGAAACTGCAAAATAATAACTTTTTTTAAATTATTTTTTATTAATAAACGGAACTAAGGGGGATCACAGTTGTCTTTTAAGACTGAATTTAAGGCAGTGCTCTGTGTCTCTGTGGGCGTTGTAGGCTTTAGGTAAGGGGTAGATCTTAAAACCCGCTGATGATATTTGCTCTCCCTCTGCTGACCTCTGCATGTGTTCACAGCCCAACTGATCAACTCCATTTAAAACTCCAGCTAGATCCCTTCCCAGAAATATATGTAAATGAACACGAACAGGGGGCTTAGACAGTTTATATAGCTGGGTATATGTATGTGCATGGAGGACTTAGATCCTTCATGATCACAAATGGATTTTAGTTGTATAAGCCATGACAAAGGACAAGTGCCAGGTAGAGAAAGTGCCTTGCCCAGGATCGTTTAAGAAGAGGGTAGCGGAGGCAGGAATCGAATACCGGTCACTGGGGCAGCTATGGATCAGACCAGCCTCCCCAGGCAGATGAGGCAGGGGCACCCCGAGATGCCTGCTCAGATGAACTTCTGCCTCTTCAAATAGAAGGTGAGTGGCATGGAAGCAGGCTGATGCATAACTTTACTATACTCTTAAAAAGCAGACAAAAAAACAGTAAAAGAAATGTGCCATTAAAGCATTTCCATCTAGAGAGAGAGGGTGGTACAAAGACAAGTTAAAGCAGCTGGCCATGGTCCTTTGATCAAACAGGCCACGTTCAGGTCGGGGAGCAGGGCTGGAGCCTGACATGCACTTTCACAGAGTTAATGACAGGGGCTGCTATCAGTGGTGACAAGGCCACAGATCTAGTCATTTATTAACCATTTATATCATTTGGTTTATTCACCATTATGCAAGAAATTGTAAAATTGTAATATACGTTGTATGCTGCAGCTTATTTGTTCTCTTTTAAAACAGTGAGTTTCTCCATTGAGCTGAGGAATTTTGCCAAAGATACCAACTTGCACATATCGGTATAGAAATACATGGACTGGGTCAGAGCAGAGGTCCATCTTGCCCGATCCTCTGTCCCTGGCAGAAGCTGGTGGTGGACATCTAGGTAAAAAGTAAAAGCATGCAGTGATCTGGTCTGGCCTCCCACCTCCAGCCATCTGTGACTGAGGGACTTCCCTGGGCCAGGAGTCTTACCTTTCTGTTTCATGTTGGATTTTATACAACTTCAGGTTGCCTGGTAAAATGCTCATGTCTAAAATATGAACATGAAAGCTGGCGTTTATGTTGTATTCTTCCTCTAGATAGGCCAGAGTGACCAGCAGTCCAGTCCCTACAGCCCCAAGCAAAGAGTGTAAAGCATCCCCTGGAGGGACCAGCAGTCTGTGCAAGTGTACAGCTGATGCTACAGCACAGCCTAGTAGCTCTGAATGCAGAATAACAAGGAGGAGGTTGATGAGGCCTTTCTCTCTTGTTATTCCTTGTAATTTAGGTAAATATATTCTGGGATCAAAATACTTTACATTTCCTGAGAAATTATGATGACAACTTCACCAAAGGCACAACTGTATCTTTTTATGAGCCTTTTCACAGGCTTGATTCTTCCTTTGTCTAGTTATGCAGTGTTTCAAATTCCCAAGCAAAAGCCAAAGAAAGACCTTCCAAGTTAGAGTTTTGTTATTTTCTGAAAACCTGAACTCAGAATTTGCACCCGGGAAATATTTATCAGATTGTCTCATACACTCCTCATACCTCCCCCACTGAACTCCCAGGTCACAGCCAAAATGCTGACTGTGTTGCTTCTTCTGGTTCATTTTGAAAGATTTCATATGAAACTAGTTTTTCCCCTTTCCCTCTGGAGGTTATTGTAGTGTCGCTGAAATTCTTTCCATAAACTCAGGCCTTGGGAATCCTTAAATAGCTAGTCTGCGTCCTCACTGTTTATGGTTGGAGAGTGTTTGCTAAACAACTGTCATGCCAGCCTCCCCCACAACACAAGACATAATCCATCCTTTATTTTTGTTCTCATAAATTGCTTCATCCAGACCTTAAAAAATAGTGTTTATTTTCCTCTCTGACTCTCCAGACATAATCCATCCTTTATTTTTGTTCTCATAAATTGCTTCATCCAGACCTTTAAAAAAACAGTTTATTTTCCTCTCTGACTCTCCTGCCTATGTTTCAACATATTTCAGGTACGCAGTTGGCTGCAGTGCTGGATGGGAATCTCTGTATTGGATTTACCTTTAGAGACCTGAAGGGCAAGCCCACTATATCCTCTGTTCAGTGCGTAATTTGATTTCTGCACTGTTTTTTATCACCACTTCTATCATCAGGAAGCCACAGGCAAGGACAAGCCGAAGGCGGGGTATTCTGGGTACTCCCTGAGGCACCAAAGTCCTTGACTGGCATAGTTATTCTTTTTCTACAGATCTTAATTGTGCTAAAGGATGTTGGAAAATGTCTGGAGGTCAGTGCTTGCATGTGGAGAAGATATTCTGCGAATTAGACACCAATTGAATTATTATCTGTGATTTTGGGGACTGAACTGTCTCAAGCTATTTTGGAAAATCCTTCTAGACACCTATCTATGCCATTAGCTATCTGAATAGTTTTGAAAAAACATCCCCTGGTTTCCAAGGGTCTTGGCAGAAGTCAATGCGACATCTTTCAGAGTGCTGGAAATTCTGAACATATCTGCTGAATAACAAGGTTTTGAGTGCCCAGTTCCAGATAGCTAAAAAAAAGCTCTTTCGAGAAGATAGATGTTCAAATTTGGTCCCTAGAATCTGACACATCTTCAGTCTTGAAACATGATGCACAGCCCAAGGTCATCCAACCCTACCTACCCTCTGAACATGTGAACGGGGCATTCTTTGCACTGATGGAGAATAGGTTAAGGCTGTATTTTAAAACATAGCTTCCTCTACCCCTCCCTGCCCAGCTGGAATTGCCAAACACTAATCTATCTTTCTGCATTCATCAGGCGTTCAGCACTTTTGAAGATCAAATTCCCCAGCTGTGTCAGATGGAGTGCTGTAAAAATAGGACAGAGAGAGAAATTCACCTGATCTTTATAGAAAGAACTTTCTCTGGTAAGCAGAAAGAATGATTATATAGCCTGAAGGTATTCACACTCAAGTAGACTAAGCTTGTCAACTCATTCTGCTTGGGACACCAAGCCATCAGTGAAGGGTCAGATTTCACCTGCTGACCTAGGTTTGAAAGGCAGCAACAAAATGCAGAAGTTCTGGTCTCCTTAATAAAGCTGACTTGTATGTGCTTTGCTTTATTCTCTCTAGCAGAGTCCCATGGAGAAAGGCTTAAGCAGATGAAAAAAATAAAGATTTCCCTTTTTTTCTGGTAGAGAATTAACTCCTCTGAGGTCTCCTGCGAGCGTACAACCTTCTCCTATGCATCGGAAGTCTCCGCAGCTGAGTATTTCCACGCCTCTGGCTCTGCAGAGCGTTCAATCGGATGGGAAGGACAGTTTTGCTGATGACGTTGAGGCGTTCATTCAGTTCTTCTAGCCTTTTCCTTATCGACTGGACTTCCCTCACAAGATTGTCCACAGCTGCGGAGACAGGGCGGAGGCTGCAGAGAGAGTAATACAGGAGAATAACTCAGTGTGAGGAGTGTTCCTGAGCATGCAAAATAATTTACCATGGCCTTGTGTTTGTTGGTGGGGAAGTTGCAAGGAACCATTAAAAGATGCTTCCAAAGCCACCCTGACCCTCAGGTGGTGGGAACTCATCTGAGATGCCCCTGTCTGAATCCAGCAAACCACAAGCTTCAGGACCAGCACGGGCTCTTTCCATCGCCACCAAAGCACAGCTGGCTCAGTGCAGAATGACAGCTGGTTTATGAGCTCCCAGAAGCACTTCACAGCACTCCTGCTGCGGGGGACATGAAAACCATCCTGCATGGCTGGAACCAGCAGGGGTGGAGAAGAAGAGAGCAGCAATGCATGGGATCACCTATGAAGACTTCCCAGTGAAGGGCAGACTACTGCATGCCATGGTGCAGCTGTGATTGCACAGCTCCCTGGTCACTCCAGGCTGTGCCTCTGCCTGAGCTGAGGGAGGGGGAGAGCCAGGTTTTACATCAGGATTTGGCAAGGTGAGGGCTGCACTGATGCACCAGTGTGCTTGGGGGTAACCATGTCCCTTCCTGTGGAGGGCTTCCTCTCAGTCTCCCTTTGGGTGTTATGAAGCTCTGATGATCATTCTAATCTTACCTGATATTAGTTAGTATTAATTAGCCTCACTGTTAACCAGCAGCAGACACGGAGGCTGGGCCAGTGATTCCAATGGATTACTGTCAGTCATCAATATTTCTAATAGACTTGCCTGTGTCCTTACCAGCAAACTCTTAATTCAAAGCCCTATGCAGGAAACATGGCTGAATAGTCTCATTACATCTCCCTGGATTAAAGATAGAGCTTTCCAAATACATGACTTAATATTGGCCCTGATAATCTTAGGCACCAATTAATTTCAGCATTGGCAGTGTGAAAGTTGTGATGAATTCTGTGCTAATAACAGCAGCCACCATGCAGTCAGGGAGAAATCCACTTGATGCTAAAGGCCAGCATACAATCTATCAACTATATCCTCTTGAAACCCTAATTTGTACAGATACTGTGTGACCTTCTGACTAGTGCCATTTTATTCTTCTAGCGTTTCCTCTTCAACTGGTTCAA